TCTGCCATGGCACTGCTCGTCGTGGTGGCTGCTGTGGGCTTGGGGGTGGCACTGGGACTCCTGCCACGGGCACCAGGTTGTATCCCAAGAGTTGTTATTTTCTTGGTAAGGGAGGCAGAAATGATGCTGCATGAGAACAGCCCTCATGTCCAGCACCATGTGTGAAAGTGATGCTTTCCAGCGCAGACCAGGAGGAAGGAAAGGGATGAGCAGGGTGGTTTGGGGCTGTGTCAGCCTTGCACAGCCCCAGTAGCCTCCAGCCATTCCTCAGGTCCACTGTCCTGCTCCATAGGGCTGGGATAACTCTGGGTGACACCATCATCCTTCAGACTATTGATTGGTATGGTCTTCACACTCTTCCGTGATCCTACGAGAGATTAATCCTGGCCCCTGGCTATTTCCAGAACAACAAATGAGTTTCAGAAATCCCCCTTTATTCCCCCTGATCTGTGTCTTAAAAATGCTGGAAAGTAAAGGATTTCTTGCTTTCCCCTCAGTGAACCGCTTCTGCACAGACCCCAGTAACCGGACAGGCTTCTTGTGTGATGACAGAGTGACCTGCATCCCATCCAGTTGGGTCTGTGACAGAGTCAGCAACTGCAGGAATGGAGAGGATGAGCAGGAGAAGCTCTGTGGTGAGTGGTTTTGTTGTGACCATCCCCCCTGCACTAGTCTCCCTGTTGTGAGACAGAGCAGCCGGTGTTCCTCTAATCCTGTTCTGTGCTTCTGAGCAGATAAGCCTGGTAGATCCTTTGTAGGGCAGATACTGAGAGATGGCACTGCCCAAAACCCAGTGGGCGTGCCAGGGATCAAAGACTCCAAGCTCCTCTGATCTTCCTAGGGTTTTTTTAAAACCATGATGCAGTTTTCCTCCACTGGTAAAGCTTTATGCCTACATGGGTAATTTATTGTCCTGTCACCCTGGGAAAAAACTGATTAAAGCAGAAGCCTGGGGCACTCAGACTCTGCTTCTGGCTCAGCCACAAGCATCCCTTCCCCTCTCCAACCACAGCTTCCCTATGGCATCGTTCCTGCCCTGAAACTGCATAGGGAAGGACTGACTGACCCCCCATGACAGCAGCCTTTGGTGGCTGCCATCTCCCTCTTAGCCAGTGTCTGTGCCCAGTGGAGTTATGCATGTCCTGTGTGTCCACCCTGGCAGGTGACTTGCCCCACAGCCTCCCAGGATACCTGGTTTTCCTCTGCAGTAACCCCAGATTCTGGATCTATGCCGATCAGAGGTGTAACGGGATGAACGACTGCGGAGACTGCTCTGACGAGTCGGGGAGCTGTAAGTCTCTCTTCTTGGGCAACAGGTCTATTCTGCTGATGGGTTGCAGTAAGTTGTATAGGCATGGTGCTCATGGATGCTGCTGGAAATGCCTGGAGGCTGGCATCCTCCACTAAAACACAAAATAGCTGGGATAAGATGTGAGTATGAACCAGGCAGGTTGCATCCTACCAGCTGCCAAGGGTTCTGTATCAAAACCTAGTGGCAGCCGAGGTGGCAAAGGCTCCATGATTTGCTCCCAGACCCAAAAGTTGCTCCTCCTCCATGGCTTGCTGATGTGGAGCAGGTTTCACTGTGATGCATAGGCAGTGACCATTCCAGCTGGCTTTTGGTAGTTGGTCAGGAGATGGGCACATCTCTGAGCTGGGAAGGGCTGAGCCTCAGCAGCTTCAAAGCCATCTAGATCCCCCTCTTGCTGAAACAAACCTGAGCAGCAGGTTTGTTCCTAAGTCACCTCCCTTGTTTCGAACAACAACAAAAAAAAGAATTACAGCTCATTGTTCCTCCCAGGATGGTCTGCCGTGAAGGTCATCACAATGTCACACTCCATGGTTGTCCCCCACAAGTAGCACAAAGCTGGTGTCTTCTTTGGTGGGTTCACAGTCACAGGGTCATCACCAGTGCCTTTTCTGCTGGGGGGTGACAGGGTTTTACCTGTGGAAGAAAGGAGGGAGGAGGTCAGTGCAGCAGAAGCATTTCAGCATTTCATTTCCCTGTTTTCCATCTTTCCCAGTGGCCTCCTGTCCCCCATGTGGGTGGGAGTGGTGGAGCTGCATCCCTGTGCGCTACGAGTACTGCTCCTGCATCCCCAGGAGGCTGTGCCGGGATGGCATCCAGGACTGCCTTGGCTGGTCGGACGAGTACGTCTGCAGGCCATGAAGTCCTGGCACCCCTCAGTGCTGGAGACAGCAGGGTGCTTCCCACACTGTCACCTCTGAGCCTTGCTGTCCTCCTGCTCCGCCACCCACTTGGGAAGTTCCAATCAAAGCAAATCCTCAGGAGCAGCACAGTGACACTGAACAGGGACCAAGGGCACACGGCAGCCCATGCTGCAGGCTGGGTACTGACTATGGGACACCTCCAAGGATTCTCCTGTCATGTGAAGATGAGCACTTTCTACATGGGCTTCTACTGCCTTGCACTCGATGCTGTGCAGCTCCTGGGACTCTTCATTGGCTGCTGCCAGCACAGACATTGTGTCTGGGCAGCCCTGGGCCAGGGGTTTCTCCTGTATGGACATGCTGCTGCCTCTGCAGGCACAGGCAGGAGGAGAAGCTTCTATTTGCATTCAAAACACATCTGCAGATGTTTTCAGCGGTGGCTTTGAGGTCCATGTGTTGGTGCTCCTGGGACACTTCCTTGGGAATGCTGTGCTGAGGATGATACCCTGGGGAGCTGCTGCTCAGGCCACCTCCTGCTCTCTTCTTAAACCATGAAAGCCAATGTGGAGAGCATAATGGCAGGGAAAACTGAGGTGAAGAGGTTTCAGGGTTTTTGGGGATAAATCACTGTCCCTGTGCCCATGTAGCTGTCCCTGCAAGCCAGGAAAGGGAACCAGCATGTGGATAAACTTCTCTCAGGGCTGTGCAGTTTTGGAGCAGCAGCATAGCAGGTTGAGAACAGCCATGGAGTTGGGATATGTTTCACCAAAATTGACAAAGAAGGGAGGAAAAAGAAGTCACAGCCTCAGAGAAGAGAGTGGCAGAAAACCAAGTGCTGCTCCCAAGGCGGTGTGGGATGACACCAGATCCGATTGCTCCTTGTTTTGTTCCGCTGCCAGCACTGCAGGATCAGGCAGCCAAGCCTTCACAGCAGGCCTCAGGATATAGGTATGGGCATGACACTGAAATTTAAGAAAAATGTGGTCTTCTCCGCTCCTTTGAAAATCTCATCTGTCTCTAAAACATCGTCTCTGAGAAAAACCCACATTTACAGTGAGTGCACTTTCTTAGGCCCAAAATAAACATCAGGCAATCTTTTTCCCATCACCCCCCTAGGTCACAGATATTTAAAAATAAAACCCTGTTCACTCATTTCCTCTCTGTCCTGTGATCTGCAACTCTGCATGTCACCATAACTCAGATCAATGGTGAAAGTTGCTTCTCATTTGTCGCTGGGATAAAGCTGGAGATCTGAGAGATCTTTTATAAATAGCTTTACAGTATTGTGACTCATACTTAACCTGGAATGAGATGGCAAAACTCTGCATGGGGAGATTTTAAAGCTCTATTTACTAACCTGTCCCTCTCCAGACCTGGCCAGGGTGGAGGGCTTGTTTCCTCTGTGCCTGTAAAATGTTACCCCAGGGCCTTCAGTGCTGTGGCTCCGAAGAGAGGTTTGGAGCTTCCAGCCTCAATCAAAGCCTGCAATGGAGGTGCACATATTTACTGGAGAGTCACAAACACCTAATGCCTCAAGAAGCCTGGGCTGGGGTTGGTAAATTAAGTTGGGCTTATTGTAGTTGCTGTTGTTCCCTGTTACCCCAAAGTATGTTCTGAAGCAACCACTGGGGAAGCCTTGCAGCATCTCTTAAGGAGAGCTCAAGGAGGGGTGATTCAGAGGCAGCACTACAGGGACAGCATCTTCTTCTCAGGGAAGAGGAGCTTCTTTCCCAGGAGGGAGAGAAAAATCTCACCCCTAATGAGGGGAACTGTATATGGATAGCGGAACAACTGTAGTTATTAAGGATTGAACTAACCAGCTGTTAAAAAAAAATACAGGAAACCTTATGCTCAGCTGGTAAAAAAAATTGTGCCTCTCTCCATGGTCAGATTAGCAGATCTCCAGTGGTGAGAGGGCTGGCCAAAAATTCCATGGTGGCCATTGTACCAGAGGCAGCTTCAGGAGGAGGATTGCACTTGAGCACCACAGCCACCTTCCTCCCCCCTGCTTTGAGTCACAGTCTGTGCCGTTGCTTGTCTCAGCAGAGCACTGATGTAGCCGTCAGTGGGAGCTATTAATAGCCTTGAATTTCTGTGAAGAAAAAAGTAGGGTTTGAATGCAAGTATGCCTGTTTCATTTGTGTGTAGTCCTTTCTGTGTATATAATCACTTTTTGAGGAAAATTCAGCAATAATAACAAAGAGAGAAAGGGGTTTTGCTCTTTACGTATTTTTGAGGCGAAGTTCCTTTTCTTGGCCTCTTCATGATTTCCAAGGATGTGCTGATTTTTTGTTGTTGAATTATGGTAAACAACAGTGTAAAAGTAAGATATCCCCTAAATAGGCACTAGTAGAGGAAACCTGGAGTGAGTTCTTGTCCTTGTAAGGCCTAAGAGCACAATGATGGTTGCAGTGCCCAACTCACAGGCACTGTGCACCTCATCCAGTTTTGACAGAAACACTCAGGGCAGGAATTTAATGATAAACACAGTTACCTGTGGCATTACAGCTGTACAGACCAACACAGAATGGGTCTAAGTATCTAGGGGGTTTACAGCTAATATGTATAATTCATATTGGAATTATAAATGTCCCTGAATGTTTTCAGATGAAGAAGTATGGTTAGTGGATTGCAGGCACACTGCATGTGTTTTAAACCACAGAACGTTCCCAAATACAGTGAATTTGGTTGTAAGAGAGAATATATTACAACTTCAAGGCCTAATCTCTACAGTTCCAGCTTTCATTTCCTGGGCTAATATGAGAAAGGAAGAGGACTTCTGTTGTACTTTGGGCTTCTGCAGTAACTGTTATCAAGGGGTTACAGCCTCTGACCCCTCTGCAGAGGCCTGTGCTTACCCTCTCTGTTCCCTCCCTCTGTCACAGCTCCACCAGCACAGCCTGGTGCTTTCAGGCTGAGGTTTCCGTTCTAGAAGCAGTATTAATTCCCCAGGGCTCTTGACAAGCATAGATGAGCTGCAGTGATCTGTCTCCTGTCCCTTGGGAGGCAGGAGAGGAGCAGGGATAGGACCAGCTGTTTTCATGAATAATACCTATGTCAGAAGAATTGGTTAAGGATGACAACAAAACCTTTATTTGAAAAAATTATTATGTATTGAAAATATACAGTAGTATCACCAACCTTCTTGTCTCTACCCCTCCCCAAGCACAGGTTAACCCACAAGCATGGCACAGCAACCAGATTTAACAGCACTGGTCTTCTTTGTTACTCCCTCTCAATGTCTAAATCCTGTCATCAGCAAGAAAACAACAAACAAAAGACCCACTTCTCTCTGACTCAGTAGGTATTTAACAAATCCCAGTCCTCCACAGTGAGGCACAGATGCTTCTGTTTGGAAGTCCTTTCTCTCTCTTGTTCAGCCAAAGCTCTTTTTCTATTGTTCTTTAATTCGTGGCTTCCCGCAACCTCCTTTTTCAAAGGTAAATGGCAATTTTGAACTTTTTCCTTATAAAACTGCAAGTTTCCAGATGCTTTTGTTTCTGCTTCCACCACTGTGCATTTGACTACTTCCTCTATTCTGCGTGTCTTGCCATCTACAAGGAAAAAAAACAATCAAATTTAGATTTTGGGGAAAAACAGAATTACGCTGTAAAATGCACGTTTTGATGCAAAGAGTTTTGGCCAAGCCAACCTGGAATATTGACTGCTGAAATGTGCAGAGGGAAAAATAACATATTTTGGACTCAGGATTTTAAGGAGAAAACTCAGTTGTTATGTGCTGCCATGCTGTACTTGAAATTACCCAGCAGTCTAACACAAATGAAAAAACTCAAGCAGGTTGTAATGCAGTTACACAAATGGAAATGGATGAAATTGCACAGCCAAGATGCTATTTGAACTAAAAAAAAAAAAGAAAATATGGAAAAATTCCTTGTAGAAAAGGAAACAAATCCACTCTGTGGTTCCCATGCAGTAACTTACAGAAGCGCAGAGCTGCTGTTCTGGATCTCAGGTTGTCCTGTGGCTTGATGGCTTCCATAACTGCCTGCTCCCATTGCAGAACTGTCTGAAATAACATTGGAAGGAGTTAAAATGTTTCTTGTAAATTTTACAGAAATACCACTGGAAACAACTCCATTCTCTATTCTTTCCTATTCAGCAATTTTGTACTCTGGAAGACAAATTTCTAGAGAGTAAAACAGACTTAGAAGACCCCCCCTTACCTGTTCTGCCCATCCCTCTGTTTTGCAGTTACTATGATCAAATTCTTTCAGAGGCACTTTTGAGTGGACGAGGCCTATCTGCATTTGGATCCGCTTAATAACAGCAGCAACATCCTGGGGAAAAGGGAAATAAAGCAGTCAGAGGGCAAGAACATTTATTATACTTGTCCAGGAAACTTAGGTAGATGCTTTTTTACCTTGAGACCTGTGCCAGAAATGTCCAAACAATTCAATTTCTTGAAAGAAAGAAGATATCCAATTCCCACATCTGTGATTTTAGGGTTACCTGTAAGGTCAAGTAAAGTCAGCTAAGTTACATGATGTGGAAAAAGGATCAGGATGCCAAGAAAGTATTTGTTCCAAAAGCTAATACTGAAACTAAGGGGGTTGGCCTTTTTTTTTTTTTTTCCAGTATGTTTCAAGTCAAAGACTGACTTTTCCCCTCCAATGATTGCAATACAAATATTTACAATACCAAGTCTCAACCTATCAAAAATATTTATGCAAGTAGCAAGTGGCTGAGACTCCAGGTATGGCCAGTGCCTTCTGGAAAGTTGTTAGTGAAATCTGGGGTTGAGTACTTGGCTCATGGGAACCAACAAATTAATTGTGTTCCTTCAATACTGAGGAAGGTAAATTCTGTATCAGAAAGGATACAGGTTGCTTCTAATGTGAAACCACGAGGCACTTACAAGACAGGTCTAACACCAGCAGATTCTCCAGCCCCTTTTTCAGCACGCGGATGGGCGCCGTCATCCTGCGAAGGCCGGCGTCTGACAGGGAGTTGTCTTTCAGGAGAAGCTGTTTTACACTGGCAGGGGAGATACAAACACATAGTTCATGGTCAATATTTTAGATAAATTTGCAAAATGTCCTAAAACTCTGTGTCATCCTGTGCCAACCCTTCAGTCTGCTTTGTAATGTTAGTAAAGAGCAGTAAGAAAGGAGCCTGGGCTAGTGGGACTAACAAATATCCCTCTATTGCCCCTGCTGGCTCAAGAGAAACACTACTTGAGCAGCTACTCCCAGAGCTCCAGTGACAAACTGATCCTAGAGCCAAATATTTGCTAACAGAGACAATAAGGTTCTTTATACCCTGAAGTTCTTTAAACCAAGGCTTCCAAACTCAAATACACTCAAACCCAAGAAAAATGCTTGGCAAAATGAGAGAGGGCAGATTTGATAAGAGATACAGCAATGATTTAAAGAAAATAATGAGGTATTATAACAAAGATTAACAAAACTCAGGGAAAAACATCACACTAAAACATTCTCCAGAGCATTTCAAGACAAAACCTTGATGCAAAATACACGAAAATCTTAGGGTAATACTCCCTAATTAGTAGTCATTCTGCCTATTGATTTCCAAATTTTCCTACTTTTCAATCTTCAGTATCAAACAAAATTTAAAATGTTATTGTATTTAGATGTTAATTAACAAAATATTCAACCTCCTACTTGCAGAAATCTTTTCTCTGGAACACTGGTTTTGTTAAAAATTTGGCAGATAAAGTTCTCTCTTAAAAAAGGAAATGAAAGTGTAAAACTGTTCCAAGGTACTGTTTCTACTTGGCCAATGAAAATTATAAAAAGTTGATGTAAAAACATGAAACAGTAAATTATCTTGCATATTTTTAGGCCTTTTTACAATTCAGTATGTGCTTTCACTCATGCTTTGTTTACACTCATGCTTTGTTTACAATACATTCTGTATTTTGTTTACGTCAAGAAAAGGTTTTATGAACAACCAAAATCTTCAACCTTACACACTGCAGCCTGTGAAACTTCCCTTTAAAGTCACAGCCTGATTCTTTGAACTGCTTAGTGACAGGAAAGAAAGTGTCATTTTCAGTTGTGTGTCAAGAAATTGGTACCTGGACAGGGCCTCTTTGGTGAGGTGTTCCAGCAGCTCATGTTCATCTCCCAGTTTACAGGAGGAGAGATCCAAACATGTCAGCTCCCGGAAAGATTTAATTTCTTCTAGCTTTTCAGAGATAACCAGGTATCTGCAAAGAGAGAAAAAAAGCTATCAGTGCTCAGGCGTGTAAGAAGGCATATCCTCATATGTCACAAGCATAATGCAGTTGTTTCTGGTAAGTATCTATGTGAGAATTGACAGAAATTAGCCAGCTGCATTAAGTACCTTTTTATGTGCAGTTGGCACACAACATGTCTGAATTCCCAGTCTTCTCCTTAAATCAGTGTCGTGGTTTTGCTTTGATCCAAAATATTGGACTAACGAGACTTCAACTTGCAAACATTGCAGTTAGGAACTTCTCTACAGATCACTGCTGCATTATTTCAGAATAATGCAAAATGATATCCCAGTTTATCACAAATAACTTCACAAACTGCTGTTCCTCTGTATCTTGGAAGGGTGTAGACAAACCCACATTCACCCAGGTTTAAAATCCACTGCAAATGTCTCAGGACAGCTTGGCAAATGGCAAAATTTTACTTTTTATATGTGTCGATAAAATACTTGACTAGATAAGGTCCAGGACTACCCAGAGCTGTGCCTACAGCCCGGGCAGCAGTTACTCAGCAGGTTATTTTTTTTTAGCTGTGCTGGTTCCCTGATCTGATTCACTCTGCAGCCACGCAAACATCTGTGCTGGAGCTATTCAGTAGGAGGTTTAGAGATGGGAACAAACCACTAAAGAATGGCAGGCATGAGTATGCAGTAATAAGCACGTAGCCGTCAATACCTCCCCTGCAGTTACCTCTTACTGCCCCTGTGGCAAAACAAGCTCCAAATTCACTAATCTCTCCTGAATTTACCTTATATTCCCCATGGCAAGACAGACCCCGAGGTCAGCATCTTCACTGCTTAACTCAGGGGTGCTGACTAATTTGATCCCTCAAAGAACACCTCTCTGCCCATGCAAATAAAGGGATCTTAATATCCTCCCAGTGTAAGTTTACCTACCAAAATACCCCCTAAATCCCTCTGCTGTGCAATTTGGCTATGCAGAAAGCAGTACATACAGTCAGAGAACAAGCCAGTTCTTGAGAAAGAAGAGTGGCCTCTTTTAGAAATAAAATTCATCAGAAAATGCCTTAATGCCTTACTCCCTGGATTTCAAAGACTTGATACTTAACTCAGCTTTCTGTAATGGCAAAAGATGCCAGAAGTAGCTTAATTTCTGAATTAAGCCCATAAAATTATCTGTGCTAGAGATGAAAAGGAAGTAGGTTTAAAGGATGAAACAAAGGATAATTGACTTCTACTCAAACATTCCTACTGTGCTCAGAACACCCTTGGCACTTCAGATGAATATGACTGTACTTTGATTTTAAACTGGATAAACCATCCCTTTTTCAAGTGTAGAGATGGAAGAGACTGGTTATATTACTGGGAAAGACTTCAGTAGGAGCAAGGCTTTAAAAACATAATCCAGTTTAAAGCTTGGCAAGACTTTCAGTGGACATTGAGAAGATAGAAAAACTAATGCTGGACTCTAAACACGACCTTGTCAAAGCACATTCACTACGGGGATGGGAACCACAATAAACTAAGGTAAAACCTGCCTGACTTCAAAGCCTGTTACTTACCTACAGATTGTCTTTTTCTGAGCCCCCAGAATGAGACAGGGCAAAAGCTTTATTTACTACAGTAAATAAACCCAGACAGTTTGCAAGGGTGTATTTTATCTCTACAGTCAGCTAAGGACGTTGAAATGCTTTTAAACAGCAATTACAAAAACATCCCATGAAATGCCTGAGAAGGCATTAAACACGTGGATTGCTATGGAAGTGCCGATTATTATTGTTAAAAAATGTTGCAGGTTTAATCCTCCACTAAGATCCCCTCTTAGTTAACCACAGATGTAGTCTGTAGTCTGTTGATTAAGCTTTATTAATCCTCTGTACATTCTAAGATTTGTACCTTAGAATGAAACCAGCACCTACACTTGTAGGAAAGAGATGGCACAAAAAAGCAAGCAGAAGAATCAGATAAGGCTCAGGGCATTTAATTAAAATTGGGTGGTGTTACAAGCCCAAGAGATATTTTTAATTTAATTTAGGGGAAACTTGAAGTGTGCTAGCAAAAAGCCCTGGCAGATGACAATATTTGTCAGTGAACAGACTTACCTATTCCGCAAGCACAATGAACATAGCACCAAACTGCCATAGGCTTCAGTAAACTTCTGTAGAGCTCTCAGTCCCGTCACTGGCTCTGTGAACTTTTGTCTTGCCTCTGCTGCTGAAAAGAGCTTTTCAGCAATCTGCTCTGGGAAACCAATCAACGAGTCAACGTGATCAACATTGTCAGAAATGTAACCCAGCACTAGGCTGAAGAGAGACTTGGCCGAGTAGCGGAGGTTCCCCTCCTTAGTGTACGTGAAGATGAAATGATCAGTCCTCTGCCTCCTTGCCCTATCGTCCTCCCTGTTCATGCAAAGCTCCACTGAAAAACTCCTGGAAAACAGCCTAAAAGGTCTTGTTTTGGGAGTGACATCCTGTATGCCGCCTGCACCCTGATTTACCACATGCAGCTTCCCATTTTCACGCACGTATATTGGCCCAGTATCCAAATGGCTTTCTGAGTGGAGACAGTAAGACATTCCCCTCGACCAGCTCTGCAAAAACAAACCACAGACAGGTGAAGAATAGCCACAGAGGAAAACACGACTCAGGGAAGCCCCCAAACCTGGCAGCTCCCCTTAGAGCCCTGAGCACAGCCACGTAGCCCTGCAGGGGCAGGAGGGCAGGCTGTGTGGAGCAGGGGTGTGAGCTGGATGCCATCAAACCACAAACCCCAGCCAAGTGGGAACTGAACCCCGGGCTGGCTGAGACACCCAGGAATGGATCCCAGCCCCGCACAGGGAGGGGCAGGGGCAGAGGGGCTGTGGCTGTGTAGGAAGTGGCCCCCACAGCCAGGCCTGGCTCTGCTGCAGGAGGGGGGAGGAGGAGGATGAGGAGGAGGGCACATGTCTGACTGCAGCTGGGCAATGGAGCCTGCTGGAACCTCCCGCCCTGGGAGGGTGGGCATCTCCTGGTGCCCCTTCCCCGGCCGGGGCCCGGGGGTCTGGTTTGTGAGGGGGGTTCTGGCGTGGGCAGGAGGGCTCAGAGCTGCCATGGCGGGGGGCAGGGGAGGGAC